AGATTAAAGGGAAAAAATAGATAAAATAGACAAAGAAGATAAACAATAGAGAAAAATTGGGTGCTCAAAAGATGCTTTATGCAATCTGATTTTAATTCATGTATATCATATCTTGCTTACTCGTCTCATGAGCATAGCAAAATCAGAGATCTAAATATTAACTAGATTGAGATAAAAATATAGAGAATACTAGTAATGGACAAACAAAATGAATTAAGAAAAGAGAGAAATGGCCTCGAAAATTAAGGAATACAGAAATCCAGAACCTCAATGAATGTTTATGAACGGCATAAGTAGTCGCATTTCACAGTGACCAATCTGGGGAAAAAATACTAAAGAAGATTATTACTGTGAGTAATAGTATATCACAATATGTATTTTGCAAATACAGAAGCATTTATTTGATATAGTATTTCTGTTTTCACTTGCCAGATGAACAAAACGGTTTAGAATTAAGTTTTTTTAAAGTGCCAGAAGAAGCAGAAAACTTAGCAAGCTACAGTGGAAGTGAAAGTGAAGGTGAAAGTGAAATAGAAAATGATGATGTTGGTACATTAGCTGAGGTACATGTTATGGTTGAAAAACTGAAAAAGATTGCCTTAAAAAATAACAAAGCAAAACTTTTGACGCAGAGGATGAATTTAACAACATGTCCATGGCTAAATAGTATGTGCAAGGTGACATTCGACAATTTTTAAATCCGACTCTGTGAAATTGTTGTGCCAAATTATTTATAAGACTTTTATATTTCATTTTTAACATGTATAGTGCCATGACTTTAAAGTGCTTCTGAATTATTTTAATGTGTTTTAATATAAAGCTTGTATGCATATTTTAATAGAATATATATCTATATCTTAGTAAATTTATTTTATTTGAAACATGTGCCACTTAAATTAAGCTGTATTGAGAAAAAATGTGGAATTTACTGACCCCATCTATATCGTATGAGGTCACTAGCACACTCTGTCACTAATACAATCCTGTTATTTCCCTGTTCCCGCCATATCCACTAAGAACATTGCACTAAGCATTTTCCATAAGGTCATGAGAGAAACAGATGCTTCCACTTTACCCCGTTAACTTCACAACTTATCCACAATAGATAGTTGATATAGTAAAACTCTCATTTAAAAGTTTGAAAATATGAATATCGTACAGTGGGGTTTCGTGGTTGATTGTTTATATATTAGATCATTGGATAGCCCGTTATAGCTATCCTAATATAGATTTTTTAATATAGGACAAAGAAAAAAGCCTTATTTGGCATATTTCTTTACTGAAATTTTGACTTTTGATTTAAGATTCCTATGTATGTTTGTTTAAAAGTTACAAAATTAAATCAGGTAGTTTCGACTCATGACGACGCATTCTATGCAGCTGTGAAGTCCAGGAAAAGAAATAAATATACCACAATGTTTGGCTATAAAAACAACACCTTTTAGGTAAATATTGTGTGGTTCTTGCATGTGATGATTATTTCCCATTCACAAATACATGTGTGTGTGTGTGTGTGTGTGTGTGTGTGTGAGTGTGTGTGTGAAAATACAAAAAAAATATCATTTGAGTTAGATGAAATTGTCTTATGCTATCTTTTGAACGTAAAATATGCGTGAACATTCATTATTTTTCAAAGATCTTCTTAAAATTATCAACCATAATTTTAACAAACTCATGTAATTATACCTCAATTCTCCAGACCAAGTTAGACCCTTAGCGCACCTCCTTTTTGGTTTCAGGATACCGTGTTGGTGTGTAAAGAAATAGGTTGTTATAAATCACTTCTCAATTCTTTCACAATATAGTGCCTCGTTATATGTGTGCGTGTTCTGCTGACGTACTTTTTGTTAGCTAAGTGATGCATAAAGACACGCATAGTTGTCGTTACTCAACAAAAACATAATCCCCGACAGAACTTCCTTGTTGAATCTGGAACATAAACACGCAACTGACTGAACACAACAGGTCGCTTTTTGTTTTTGTTTTTAGATGTTTCTGTGTGCAATAATTTTTATCATCAGTTTTGTTAATTTGTATGTAAAAAGGAAAATAATTATGATACCATGTAATATGTATTTTCAATATTTCAAAATAATACCATATATGTTTAACAAAGTCCAGGAGCACGATATACATTGGTGTTGGGATATACAGCAAATAAACTCATCATAGATACCAGAATTAAAATTGTTTACTCGTCGTGACGCTCGATTACAAAAGTTAAAAGGTCAAATATAGTACGAAGTTGAAGAGCGTTGAGGACCAAAAATTCCGTAAGGTTACATGTATGTCTAATACAGCTAAGGTAATCTATTTCTGGGGGTAAATGCCCGAACCTGTTTCACATTCAAATACTTTTATCATTTTTTTTCTATTAGACATGTCTCAAATAAAGACAAAAACCCGCGCAATTAATTTCCATGAACCCACCTACAGTCACATAAGTAAAATTGATAAAAAAAAATTTCAGTACTTGATCTTCGTAAGATTATAGAAAAGGATCACGTGTGAATAAAACAAATTTGAAGTGTTTTATAAATTGATTTACAAAAAGATTTGAGTCTTGTGAGTATAGAACGCATATAAAACTGTCTTTCTCACTTATGCTTATGTCAGCTAGCTTACTAAAATACTGTTTTCGCCAAGAAATACAAAAAGTCTTTTATAATATAATTATGCTAATAAAACAATTTATACAGTTGTCGATGTTACCTACTCTAGTCTGTTCGTAATGCTTTATATGTCTACTTAGTTTGCAACATATCCTAGGCAACTTTTTATCATAGCCATCAAGCTAAATTTGTCATTCCACTTAACGTTGGTATAAGCACAACGGAATAAAAACAGATCAGTAACTAATTTCCACTAATTTGTACAAATTGTTTTACTGTGTGGCTGTTAAATCTAATTTGATAAGCCCGAGAATAGAATGAACCCAATAGATATAAAAAGAGGATCATAATTACATTAGGAGGCAATACTATCCAATATTGACCGTTTCTAACCAGTAAATAACGTGTCAGTAGGGTTTAATATTCGTCATTTCTTACTTAGATTTCCTAGTCTATATAGATAGCTATAAAATGATTCCACATTAATATTTTGTTCCTGTATCGATTGCGGTATAAGCACTTCGTCACATTATAGTTATAGATGTTCGGCAGACATCAGTGTTTATTATTGTTTGTACAGAGACTCTCTCCGGAGAATAAAAGAGCTCATCTTTTTGTACATTCTGTTCTTCGATCGGGACATTCTCGTGATGTTTTCATTGATCTTATTAACCAAATACAAGTTTGTTCAATTTTAAACAGCGGAGATGCTTGATAAGGCTTTAGCAGTTTTACTATGGGTTTTGGTGCAGGGTTTGGATGAATCAGTATCTAGTTTTCAAAAACAGACATGTTCCGTGTTCAATTCAACTATCCGTGACGGTAAGTCATCTTTGTTATTAAAACCCTTTATTTATTAAAAAGTTTACTTTTCTGATTAAAAGGATTTTTGAAAGTGGTAGCATTTCGTTTCCATATATATATTCATATTTTCCTATTTTAACTAAAAATATATTAATATCAATACAAGTGATAGTCTGTTTGTTCAATTTAGAAATCAAATAAAGCAAAATTAATAATTATTATAATTGTTGTTGACGATTACCGGATTAGTGTGATTCACATCAAAATTATCACATGTTACTGTATAGTTGAAAATATTGGACACTCAAATCCCGTCACACGCGCCAAATTTCAGTTTAATCTATTGTATACTTATCTTATTATTTTACCTATTATCAGTATATGTACTGTTTCTTTCTAACGTGGCCACTTCGCGTGTGCGTAATCATATAAATGTATAAATGCTATTTGAAAGCTATACTTATAAAAGCATTACAGTAATTTGGTAGCTATGTCTGTATTGAAACATTTATGTGTAAACTAATATCTTCTGGAATCATCTCAATATTATATTAGATTCCGTGAAATATTGAATTAACAGTCATCAATTTTAAAACTAGATTCATTTTCATTAACTTGGCATATTCAATCTATCTCACAACAACGAATGATGAGGAATTGTGCTTAAATGGTATAATTTATCTTTATTTTACTAAATTATCAAACTAATGGTACTTGGTACGGAATGTGTCATTTATTTCTGCAGGTTTTGATGCCAAAACGTAAGAAAATAACGTATTGCTGTTCGTAATTTCACATCATTTATAAATTGCATAAGTCATTAAAGTGTGTTACATGCCTCAAGCTTCACTTCAAGGATCTTGGCTTTTAATGGGTTACAGCCAACATTTATAGGAATTTGGTTTCTATTAAATCAATGTGATATTTTGTTTCATCAGCAGAATTGTCAACTTGACTTAGCCCCATTAAAATCAAATTTACGGTCATTGGGCCTATGTCATGTCTTTACAATTGTGTGTGTGTTTTTTTTTTACTTTTAACTTTTTCTTTTCGTTTGTTCTCTGTGTATCACAATTGATTCAAACTAATCAGAAAGTTACTCAAAAGACCATTTCGTTTAGAAATAATTAAAACAAAAACGACAAAACGCACCTTATCTAAACAATGTTGTTTTTGTTTTATAGCTAACGAAATGTTCTTAATGATATTATAGTCCACTGCGATGTACCTTGCATTATTTTATAAACCTACTAAAACGGTTTATGATTATAGGGGTTGGACTAGAAATCTAAGAACAAAATCACTTGGTTTTTTAAAATTTGAGTCTAGATTTGCACCACATGTAGGTCTATCTTACACTGTTTATTTTGTGTTTTTAAAGTTAGGTATTTGCTAAAATTTTCTAATATATATTAAAACCTTTAGGGATTCATTTTGTCAGTAAGTTACTGAAGACAGATGATTTATTTGGGGCATAATAATCCCAGAGATTCTGTCATATTGACTGTCATGCAATAAAACAAAATGTAAAAAAAAAGTGATAGTACAATATACCGCCATGCCAGGTTTTATAAAACGAAAATCATGGGTATGATTTCAATATATAGATATACTCATGAAAGAGAACAAAAGTTTTCATTAAAAAAATTGTAAAAAAGATATAAAAAAAAAATTAAGTGATATAAGTCATGTAAACTGTAAATGTTATCCCTCGTTTATTTGAAAGAAAAAGTATGTACCGAGATGTTATTTTAAGATTGGGTTACAGATTACCTATGGTACCATTTTTGGAAATACTATCTTTTTAACTCCCCTTTATTGACGAAATATGCATAGACTTATACGAAGAGGGTTCAAATTGAAATTTTGCCTCAGTTAGCAATACACAGTTAGGAAAAAAACTTAAAATTGACACTCAGAATTTTTAACCACTCCCTATCCGTTGCTTTCTAACAAATAAGGCTTAATGTTTGTGTTATGTAGGAGCATATGTATGGAAACAGCATATTCCATAAATTTGATCTCCAATAGTTAAAATGGTGAAATATAATCTCTATTTGATGTAACCATGGCAACAATCTGCATTTATTTGAAACACAATTTTAAAACACTGGGGGTGAGAGTCTTAAAGTCTCCAAAATTTGGTCCAAAGTAGAATTTCAATCCATTAGAGTGATACCTTTTCTGAAACCATTGACATTTATCTATCAAGAGGTATAAAACAAATTATATGCATTTCACCTCATTTTTTCCATAAAATTGAGTTGAAAAGTTCGAGCGTCAAATATTTGTTGAAAAGCACTACCGTAACAATAATTTCTGGATCTATGGGCGGTACGGATGTGCAAATACGGACTGTCAAACAGAAAATGGCCTCTAAAACATGCAAATTAAAAACAATCTTGATGTTCATATAAATCCACTTTGAGGGCTATATCATTTTTCAGCTATCTAAAAATCAACTGTATTGCACAATAACTTTCATATTTAAAAAATTCACCATGGCCAAAATGCGAAACCAAACTCCTAATAAACTATAATTGCTACCTCAGTTTGACTATACATGCATAGGATCGGTCCCGTAACGTTGATATGAATATGGTACTAATTCTGCTACTTATCCAATAGTTTACTACTTTAGTAACACGTTTTTCCCTCCCTCGTAGAAAACTGGGTAGTATCTTTAATTATTGTTTATGTTCATATTAGGATTGGTGAAAGAGACATGCTCTCAGAAAAGAAATGTATTCAAAAGAGTAAAGAGGGCAAATAAAGTAAATGGGAGAGCATTGGTTATTCCAATAGGTATGTATTAATATACTAGTAACTACATGAACAAATTATAATTAGCTAAACAGGAATTTATTTTGCATTGGGAACATAACAAAATAACAGGACAAAGTAAAAACTTTTTATGTACCCGAACTTTTGAGTAAGTTCAACTAAAGAATGATAGACTGTGTACAATGCTGTCGGCTAATGTGAATTTGAATCATTATGTGTGATGATGGAATCATTAAACTTCTGATGTAAAATCAGGATAAATAGTTTATTTTTTCTACGTTTTTTACATTTTTTATGAATAATTATCCGCAAATTCAAAAATTCATAATAAAAGGTAATAAACCCCCCTTTTTATGTAAAGTCCGATAGTAAGCTAATATTTGACGCACTCACTTGAATTATCATTTTTCTTTATATACTACATTTACATCTAGAAAATGGTGTGCAATTTTATGTATTGATGAATTATTCAATGACATGAAATACTGACTTGGTAAGTCTGTCACGCAGAGTAAATGTTACCGATCGGAAATCGCTACCTGGGCATACAAAGAAAATGTCACTGGGAAGCAGCACTAACAGTTGTCTTCCACTTCACTTTTCACCACAAAAAATGGTCAATGCCAAAAAAAAAAATATTCAGGATCAAATATACCAACTGTGTCACATTGACAGATGCGTCTTCTTCTTAGCCTACTATGCTGTACGGAAAGTACATTTCTGAAAGACTATGCTGTACGGAAAGTACATTTCTGAAGACTATGCTGTACGGAAGTACATTTCTGAAAGATTTTACCTATTTTATTTGCAATTTGTTACTTCTTGTGGTGATATATTTGGGGATGATTCTTTTTATAAAGTGTGATATCTTTAGTTCTAGACCATTACACTATGATGATGATGAACAGCAATAAAATCGCTGTTATTTTGATATTTTTTTTATAATAACGATTCTATTTTGTGCTACTACTAATACTACTGTCCGAGGCAAAACATCAGTCGGTATCAGCTACAAATGATTCAAATGGAAACTATATTTTGTTTCTTATTTTCTGTGTTTTAAGAAATTTCTGACTAGTAAAGCTTTTGACTTACAGTATATGTGAGGTATTTGTCAATGAGACAGCAAACTACCAGTACAAATATGCAAAAAAACATCTAGATGACAACATGCAATCTTCAACAAAGAAATGAATATGTCTACACAATATGTCTAGCTCTGAATCGTGATGGGTCTGAAAAATGATAATAAATCAGATAGAAAATAAAGATATCTGCCATCAATACCAAGTCCTCCAAATAACAAAAACATTTAGATATGACGAGGTACCTACCTTCGGACACGCAAACTGTATGTTATGGTTATCGGTTACATTGAACGTGCGCATGCTAGCGTCTAGAGATTCGTGTGTAAAATTATTACTTTTTGTCTGAATTTTACATCTTCAAAAGGTATAACTTATGAAAAAAGATTGTTGGTTGCTTAACGTCCAGTGGCAAATATTTCATGCATGATATGAAAATAGAATTTAACATGAAAATAGAATTTTACATGTTACATTTAAACTTAATTCAGAAAAAAACAAATATATTTAGTGTAAGTCAATGTTACGTCAGCCAAAGAACACAAACAATCAGAACAAACTTTTTGAGGTCAACATATTTCAGTCTTCAACAACATACTAGAGTATAACAGCTTTTTAGTGGTGAAACATCTTTCGTCGATACCAATTACAACGTCATTGATTATACATGTGTGTACTACAATAGTACTGTACAGGCGTGATGTAGACTTAGTCTTTTTTAGAACTCTGTCGTTTCTCTTCTTCTTCTTCGTCTCGATTACTTTGTATTGGATTTTTTCGAGGTCTGTCTTTTTGAAGACGAATTTCCTAGATCGCTGTTTCAACATATCTATATATCAACCTGTATCATAAAATATATTTTATTGTACGATAATTTCCGATCTTGGAAAACCCCTTATGAATTTTTATAATGAAACCTACATTTCATACATGGAGTTATGTGGACATATTTAAATCATTACTAGTTAAAACATTTGCTATGTATGAAACGAGCAGAACAAACATCATTATAAGGCACACGTCAAAAACACAAAACGATTGTAGAACGTAAGCTTTTTATGAATTCAACATACTTTTCATCGTTCCTTACTAAATGAAATTTCAATTTTCAAGTAACAATTTATTATATTACGGAGGTTTTTCCAAAAGCTAATGAGATGTTTATGATCCCGAGAAAAAAACGCAAATTATTTCTCGTTTTGCAAGTTCTAATTATCATGGTCACCAGTAGTAACCATGTTACATCTAAAAATCATACTAACAATTCCTGTAGAGATTTATTGTTCAGAAACGGCTTATTGAATGCGACAATTGAGATAACATGAATATAAATTAGGACACTAGAGAATTGCTACTGTCATTTAGTATAAACAGATCGCGAACAAGTTCGTTATTATTTAAACAAAGCTGTAAAATTATGTGCAACTTTATTTAAAGGTTATTTGATTTAAACAGCTCTTAGCAGTTGCGTAACAGATAACATTAAAATCTGTCAATATTCTTGAATAACTCATTTTTTTCAGATAAGTTTTAATTTAAACGTTTGTTCACTTATATTTCTAATTTCTTTTCTTCGATTGATTGAACTCTTTTTTTTTTTCTTTATCAAATTATAGATTAAAAAGGAATATATTTTTTTAAAGTTGACCCTTTCAACCCGATGGACTTTTCTGTAACACTAGTATTTGTTTCTTCAAGCAGACCCTGTCAAACTGATGTGCTTTTCGGTGACACTAAGATTTCTACAGGCGAACCATGACAAACTGATGCGCATTTATGTGCTGTAAAATCCGAGGAATATTTTACAATGTTATTTTTATTGCGAAAATTGCGACGGATTACTAATAGGTTTCGCAAACAATAAAAACTCACAATCTAACTTTTGACAACACTTTAAAAATACTGCTGGGCTATATATATAAAATATATATGTATGTATACTAGTATACTAAGTTACGAACTCCTATACAACAATTTAAGCTATGTTCTCCATTTTATACATAAAGAATGTACGAAAAATATTATTACAAGAATGCAAAAAAAAAAAGCTCAAACAAAACTATCAAACAAACAGAAAACATCATAATGGAATATGAAGAATTCCCGATTATTATTATAATTTATAGATATATATTTGAAAAAGAGAAGTACTAATCAACAACCCTTTGTGCGTTAATTTCATATCCACATGTTCACGCCTATAATATTAATTATATGTAAATTTACAGGAACGATATTTAATTCTGACGATATTCAGATGAGGTCAGCATTCCGTTTGGCTTTAAGTCAGTACTCTAAAGAAAGTGTGAGCTATAAACTTAACCAATCAATCAGTATCATAGATGTATCAGACAATTTCAAATTGGCCTCGTCATGTAAGTATTTCTTTCCGTTTTTTGTTGTTGTTTCATTTCAGTTGTATGAAATGTCCATTGTACTGCATGACATTTATGATTGTTGTTGCAATCAGAAAGTCGTATCCCACGGCTGATGAGAGCACTGTGAATGATATATATGATGTTCAAATGGTTCAAGTATATCCTTCCTAAGATGAATTAGGAAATAAATTATTTAGCTAATGAAAAATTAAAGCCAAACTACTCATAAATCTGTTAGTTTCAATCATGCGGGCGGACAAAACATATTCTGTCTGCATAAAATGTTATTAAATCCTGTAATCTATTTATGATTCAGGACTCTAGTAGAGTATTTGTGATTCAGGATTCTAGTAGAGTATTTGTAATTCTGTATTTAAGATCTGGAAATAGTATAACCAATAAAAATTACATCATTCATTACAATATAAAAAATATTTTTACAAAACTAAACTCGATTGGCAGTCTAAAAATGAAGATGCACATTAAGAAAATAGAAATTGATGTAAATCTGAACTCAGTTACATGGAGCATTACTGTCATTAGTGCTCAAAAGTGTTGTCGTCAGCTAACCATTTCCGGAGCACCTGAGATCGACCCAGGTTTTTGGTAAGGTTCGTGTTGCTCAGTCTTAAGTTTTCTATGTTGTGGTTTGTGTATACTGTTGTTTGTCTTTTGGACTTTTTGTCATGGTGTTGTCTTGTTTGTCTTCTCACTTTTTGTCATGGTGTTGTCAGTTTGTTTTCGACTGATGAGTTTGAATGTCCCTTTGATACATAGGAGTTGAAATAATACAATTATGAATTTTTGACCAGCCATATTTCATTACTTTGTTTTCATTGTTTTTTTTCACAAGCAGGATAACATATATGAGGAGGCCTATTTTTGTGTGTCTCCTCTTCGTTGTCAGGATCACATCGGGCAATGTGGCTTTCTGCCTTTAAAGTAGTATGCAAACTGTAGTTTGTTATCCTCCCTTATAAATACTAGTATTAATTTTTTGTTAGTTGGGAATTAACGAGTTCCGGCTGATAGGAGTATTGTGTTTCTCCGCATCTACAAAGTTTTACAAATATTATTGTTGGGTTGGAAAATTCAATTTCCATGGCATAACCTAACAAAAGCTTTGACAAACACTAACAATGGTTTTTTGAATTACGAGAATGTTTTTATCTAAACTGAAATTAAGAAAATATAACGATTCACAAATATACATGTTTGAAATGTCATCGAGGGATACTTCTAGTTTGTAATGAATCAGGTGTTTGTGAACTAAAGTCTTTATTTTGAGTTTTTTTATTACGAAATAAAACAATTGTTTGTAACGATTAATAGCAATACAAAGAAAAAGATGATGGGATGCATATCAGTGTCATCTACTAGGGTTTATGCATATACAAAAGATTCTGTTTGTAAAATTACATTAGCGTGTTTGAAAAAAAACTACCGGAATTATTTCGATATTTATTATTATATTCGAACATGTTACGCTATAATAATTCAAGTTACGGTGTCGAAAGTACAACTCATAGTTGAAACACTGCTCTAGTTCAATCATTTGTTACTTCGACAAACATGTGAATATGATTTAGGTGCATTATGACCAATACTTAACCAGGAAGAGACCGTCTTATTCATCATAATGTCAGTGCTACAGTCATGTTTCTGACCACTTGTACAGTATCTAAATTATCACTACTAGCCGTTAGACTTGATCCGACTTTTCACATTAATATTTCCGGAAATGTATCCTCTACGGACCATCAATCATTTATGTGTGACAGACTAGAAATTAGTTATGGTCAAAAATAGCTAAAAATGGTCACAGGGAATCTTTAACCTTTTTTATTGGATTATCTTTTTCTAATACATTTCTATATAACAGTATCAGCCTAAAATTGCCCTGGTACGAAACAACTATATACATGTAACAGATGAAGAGTTGATAGTGTAGGTTTTTTTTGACATTTTTTATAAGTTTATTCAAACGGCATTAGTTACTGTATCTTATTTCTAGTTAGTTTTTATTTTTTTTTTTTGTAATTCTGAATGATCATGTAGTTTATTGACTATGGTGTTATATGTAAAATAAAAAGAAAAGAAAAGAAAAGAAATGAAAAGAACAAAAGGATATACAGCTATATCGCTCACAATACGGTATTGGTTTTGCTTATTGTTGAAGGCCGTACAGAGCCTTACAGATGTTTACATCCTCGTCGTTTGGTTTTGGTAGTTAATTGTCTCATTCGCAATCATACCACATCTCTTTATTTTTATATACATTATGATAGAGAAGAGAAACGGACAAAAATGAAAAAAAGAGACTGTATCGATGGTGGTATTAAAAACAATATGATACCGATTTCATTACGCACATAACACGTGTATTTTTTACACGTTTTGTTTCTGTTGGCACTATATGCTGACACGGACAGTTCAAAATGTGACATGTTAAACTATCATAAATAGAATCTTAAAACATTTTCTATGCCTTACCCAGCTAATTAAACAAATTACCAGCAAGATATTACATATTGATTGCTTATAGAAAGCTAAATGTGTCACGATTTTACCACTTGTAAGAAAACTAAGAACGCTTTTAAAAGCGTTTATGGATATTTTCTCAAGTCAATCCGTAACCTTTCACAACTATAATGGAATTTGACCTTAAAGATAAATTGTTACTTTAACACTTTTGTTATTGCTGACGTATAGTAAATCCGTTAAGTATTAATATATTCTTATGAAAACTTTGCAAATCCCTACCTATCACTTTCAGGCAGATGATAATGTACTGTCTGACTACAAATACAAATTTGCCGTCTGACGTTTACTAATTGAATTATTGAGCAATAATGCATTAGTGTTGTCGAGTACGAAGTATTTGTTTGAGTTCAGTAAGTTTAAAAGAAATTTGAATGTGATCGTATATCCTTATATACTTGTACATAATTTGATAATTGCACATATCCAATGACGAAATGACTTTTCATTCACTCTACTTGACACATACATTACACAGCTGCCAACACAAACAATGATGATATTTTGCTGGGTTTGCCAAATAATCTTCGAAACATTTCTCCAAATTACAAACACGTAATCTAGCAGCAATCAAAATTGGTCTTTAGAGTAAACGAGAAGCTAGATTGAACTAGAGACAGTTTCGATCAGATGTGGATACTAAACAATTAAAAAGATCTTCCGCAGTGCATTTAACTTTAAATTCCATTCCTTGGTGCATTGTATAACACATTATTTTGATTTTCAACCAGTTACACAACTATTCTTCATTTTTGTAGTTTATTATGACATATTAGCGACTATCAAATGAAGAACAACAATCAAGGCTTGTTTACTTGAATAATAGGTATACGTCAATGAGACAGCAACCAACATCACAGGACCAACAAGTCAGACATGTCAGATATAAGAGATAAGAGAAAAAGGCGAAAGTGCAAACACAAAACACAAAAAAAAAATACCGAATAGTTTCTTACTAATGCACTTGATTACAGTTGTATTGGATTGGCACTTAATTTTAACAGAGTATAAAAAGTGAAAAAAAATAGTCGATGTTATTCAATTAGACAAAACGAAGAAAATAATGAGCGGTTAATACAGAATACATCTGGGGCCCGATTAACTTCAAAACACGCTAGACAACGCATGGTTGTAGTCAATAATGATCATTCTGGAATACATTTTGTGCAATTTCAAATAAGAAATCGCTTTGAGCATTGCACGAAAGTAATCTTGTGAAACAGAGACGGGCCTATAGTGGACAGTTCAACTTACTGTTGTGCACTCTTTAAGAGCTTTCATTTTGCAAACTGTAATAACAAGATAATAATTACTTATTGTCAGTTTAGATTGGAAGAATTGATCGTCCCTTTATCAATATAGCAAAACAATTGATTCTCAATTGTAAATATAGATCCTCAGATATTTCTGATGGATGTGAGTATGTCTTAAAGACAATAGCAAAAGCCGATAGGCATTCTTCAGACAAGATATACTGATATTGATATCCTACGAAAAGGACAAAGATGCGTATTCATTTATCATTTACATCAACCCAGGCGCTAGTGCGTCAGTAATTATTTTATTTGAATCAAACATTTTAATGATATAATTCCAGGGGTTTATTGTACTTTAAATAAGGTTGTAAGTTCCTGAGGCAAAGCTGAGTTCAAACGAATTTATTGTTACATTAGGATTTGATGCTCAAAGAAACTAAAGCGGATGCTATTGAATTATAAAGTTTAAATGTTTTAATTATCATACGTGATGACATTTATTTTAGTCTTTAGTTTTTGTCTTTGCGTTGTTTTTAGATTATTTCCTGGCGTTGTCAGTTTGGTATTGACTAATGAGTTTAAATATCCCTTTGGTATTATCCGCCTCTCATTTTCAGAAAACCTGTCGAACACTATGTATCACTACCATGCATTTGTATTGTGAAGATTTCTGCCTTCAACATTCATCTTCTACCAAACCGTTTCTATAAACTAGTATATACTTACCGTTACGTACATACGAGTGAATAATGATAATTGGTTATACCTCATTGCGACAGCAACTCAACGAAACTAATAACCAGAGGACATCCACAAAATACTGTTTGGTTTTAAGGATTAATCTCATAGATATTTTCAAACAAGGATAATTGATTAGCCCTTTCTTTGCATGGTAATTTAGTGTATAAAATGGTAAAAGCATACCAAGGATGAAAATGAGTGCTATTACATTTATCATTAAAGCCTGGGCAAGAAGAATATTTAGACAATTACATATATGATAATAAACGATATGGCATTACGATATTAAATATCAACGAACAGTAAAAAAGCAGATGATACCAACGGGGGGTCAGAAACCATAAATCGAGAAAAAATACAAATAACTTCATTAAATACAGGAAAAAGACGAAGAGACAAACAGCAGTACACACAACACTTTAAAGGAAACAACAGATCGGTGAACTCAGGCACAATCCA